CCTGCTGAAGCTGGAAATGCATCACTATGACTGTGCTCCCATTCCCAGAGTTGTGCACATTTTCAGCTAGGTTTTCAAAGGTACAGAGGCTGTGTGAGTACTTCAGGAGGCATGAGGATGCATATTTTTAATAAAGTCTCATAAAAGAGGGCAGAGAAAATTAGAAACTCCGCAAAAATCCAGTTTTAAAGTCATTTTGCTGATCCCAAAAAGTTGTTACTCTCCAGAGAAGTATTCAGCCAAATCTGTTTGTCACAAGATGCATTTACTTTTAGTATCTAGTACAGGGCTATGACTGCTTCATCAGCAGAGAGCTTGATGATCAAGATCACAAGACTTGTTCCCACATTGTTATTCCAGAACTAAATAAAGGTGTAGTTGTCTGTAATGTGTTCTTTGTCTCCAAAGATCTGGCTCCATATGCAGCCCACTGTCAGAAGAGAACTATGCAATCATGAATTTGTGATCAGCAAGTGTCTAGAATTTAATGTAATAATATTATTTAAAACCCTTTCTTAAACAGTTGTTTACTCAGTCATAGGAAAGATGTTTGTATGGAGGCAGAAGATTTGAATACATAGGAACATAAAGACTATTTAGCTTTTTAACTTGGGTCATTAGGTTTGCTTTTGCTCCATGAATGGGACAAATTCAATTAAAACTTTCCTAAATGTTGAACAGAGAGAATTCTCTAGGGAGGCTTGAGAGCAGAATGTAACAGAACAAATCATACATGCTGGACTTTCTCCTCTTTACATGATAGTGCTTTAGTAGTTCTTGGAGTTGCATAGTTCAAGCTGAAATCTTCCAGTGCTGCCCAGGAGAGTTAAATTTCTTGAACGGCATTGCCTTTGTAGACATGCTGTTATTTTTATCCTAGTATAAGCCCAGCTTTCCATATTTCCCCCTTGCAATTGCAACTTCTAGTTACCTCATGTGTTTTAAGAATATGAAGGATAAATCCTTCATCTATAGCCATTTCCCTGTGCTTTCTGAGGATTGATCTCTGTAGTGGTTCTTGAAAGCAGAAAAGAAGGCAAAATTCAAGTTTGTTCCCAAAGATCATTCAATATTAGTTTACTGGTTTTGCTGTGATCTGTTTCAAAATACTGACTTGTTCTGATCTGTGAAGTGGTGTTTCCTTATCAGTACTGAAAAAACCTTATGAACAAAGCTAGACTCTTTTTAACTGGGTCTGCTTTCTGACACTTCTCAGATTTAATTTTTCCCTTGTGTTTTTTTTTTTTCCTGCCAAACCAGGAGTTATTAGCAAGTGGTGGGGCAGGGTAAGAGTATTAGAGCAGCTTTTCACATTGTATCAGTTAATGCTGTTTTCGTCTTAAGTCTAATGGTACCTTAGTTTCCAAAAATACCTTTTTAAATTTAAGCTAAAAAGTGTTCTTTTTTTTTTTCTACTTAGCCTATATAGAGTGCTCTTAGATGTTTTATGTAATAACCACTTGCAGTGTTCTGCAATGGCTGAATTGTCTTTATTTCAGTACAGCACATCTGCTAAATACTCTTCACTCGTTGAGCACGTTAGCTCCTAGCCACAGCCTCAGAGATGTTTCTCTTGTTGGACTTACATCCAGCTCAAGTTTTATTTATTAAATAAATCAATCCCATTTAATGATCCAATGTTTATTTGGCACTTTGGAGGGTCACTCGAGTGTACAGTGCAGGTTTTAGTTCAAATAGCAAGCTTCATCAGTTTGACACCAGCCCTCATGTGACCCTTCACATGCAGACCCCTGCTCACCTGGAAATGGAGAGAGCACTCTCCACGTGCTCAGTCTCTGATCTCCATCTTTAATGTACCCAACCCTGTCTTGGCTCATCTGCTTTTACTTGTCACACTGTGTCACTCGCAGTGACACACGCCGGGGAAATGAGGTCTGACTGCATGTCCTGGCTCTGGGTATGTAAATCCACTGGCCTGGCCCTGGAGACAAAACTCCTGCTGACAGCTAAAGGCAGTCTGCCATTCCCTGCCCTGGGCAGCACCTGCTGCCAGCAAACAAACCCTGTTTTTGTTGAAGGTGTTAAACTATGGGCAATGCTCTAGAGCCTGTTTTGCAGCTCCTGGGGGTAACAGTGCACCATTTGAAAGTCTGAAATAGAATAAGGATTATTTTTATAGTCAAGTGAGAAGTGAACACGTGGTTGACTTAAAGACAAAACCCAGCAGCCTCAGTTTGTCCAGTGTTCAGTGTAACTGTGCTGCTCAGCAGGGAGCACTGGTGGTAAAACTTACATGTGTGTATTGGCAGCAACGTGTAATTTTAGGTGTTCCCACCACAGCATGCTGCCCCTGCTTTTGTCAGCATTCAGGAGAAGGTGCTCCCTAGAGGAAAATTAAGGGAAATAGTCTAAAGATTGGTGCACTCCCTTGGCTTGTTGGCTTATCATGTGCCTCAGCAGTCACCTCTTTTGTGAGAGAAAGCAATTTCTTATAGGTAATTGCTTAGTAGATAATATTTGGTGTTGGACGAGGACTCAATATTTGGAAACTTTACTGAAGCACTGCTGGAAGTCTCACAACACTGAGCCATGCAGTATAAAACCACAGTTTTAATTCTGAAAACTAAGCATCCTTGTTTTGTGCCTAATGATAATAAAATAACATCACCTAATTATGGTGCCATTTCTTTCATGTTACTGATTGCATTGTGTGAGGAAGACAGGTCTTGAGTGCTGGCTTCACCAAGTCTCTGATGCTGGTTTTGATCTGTGCAAGGAATAAATGACATTCTGAGGTTTTTCCCCTCCCAGTGCTGTTCCCAAAGACAAGGACAGGCAATGCTTTAAGCTCCGCCAAGGAATTGATAAGAAGATAGTGATTTACGTCCAGCAGACAACAAATAAAGAACTTGCTATTGAGAGGTAATTTCATTGATTTTAAAAAAAATTCTGAATCTTTTTGATGTTTTGTGCTTTTTCCTCTGAGGCAGCAGATGGGTAATTGTTCTGTGAATGCTCCATTTATGTAATTCAACACGGCATCTCTCTCAAGTGGGGTTGTGCAGAAGATCAGATTGGTTTGCTCAGCTTGTGTGGCAGGGGATGCAATATGGGTGCAGTCAGACCTTGCCCAGATCTGGCTGTGGAATCACTGGTCACATTCCCTCTAAATATTTATTTCAGATTTTTTTAAAAAAGCATATGGCTTTTGTTTTCAGTGGACAGTTTGTCTTAAATGCTGAAGCTGCAGTAAGTGACTGAGTTACTTCCATTTGCTTTCCCTTCATCTCTTTTGCATCTGATAACGTTATTGTACATATGCTTTGAACTTGCCACAGTCTGGAATTCTAGAATATGAAGTGTCTGTTTAGGGTAAAGGAGAGCTCAGACTTCAAATCTTTCACCACTTAGAAATAAACGGGTGGGTTTTGACTGCTGACAGAGTTCAGTGCTGCTGGGGCTACAGCAGAGAGGCAGCTTCTGCCGGCCTTTGCAGTCTGAAATGAAGTGCAGGACACTGGTGAGCCACAGGATGAAGTGGAATGAACCTGTGTGGGCCAAAAGGCTTTGTGAAATGGACACAAAAGACAGGTCCTTGTGCTTCATCTGGAATTTCCTGATTCTCGTCTGTATCAAAGGGTAAATTCTATGCAAATATGTCTCAGAAAAAAACCAGAGGAGGAATGCAGGCCAAGCTGTTGTACGGGATAGGGAACCCTTGTTAGCAGGGTCTGTTTTGCACTGTTCTTGCAAACAAAGGTAATTGAACAACTTTCCAGGCTACTGGAGGCAGGATGAGATCATATTGTAAATACACTTATGAAATAGTGCTTGACATTTTTAATATTGGCTTGACATTGTTTTGCTTGACATGCTCGATGCTGCTTTCAGACGTCAGCTTTTGTTGACGTTTGTTACAGGATTCAGGGGCTGCTTGTGATTTGTGATGGTGAATATTTAGATAAGGAATGTTAATGATTTGTTTATAAGTCTCATTTTTGCAGTTTAATTTTTTTTGCCTGGCTTTGCAGATGTTTTGGCCTTCTCCTTAGCCGTGGGAAGGATGTCCGGAGTGGTGACATGCACCTTCTAGATTTGGTAAGGATCTTTTATTAACAATATTCAGTAATAATTTGAATTGCAATTGTGCATGATCTCAGGATAGACAGAAAAGATGTAGGTGCCTCTGTGCACACTTGTTGATGGGGATTGCTGCTCTAGCTCATGGTGTTGAGGGGAGGCTCTGGGCTGCTGGGTTGAATCTCTGCCTCTGCTACAGTTAGAATATGACCTGAGTCTTGGTTAGGGGAGTTATCCAGTTTTGCAAACAGTCATGACTGCTCTCAGTTAGGGGCCTGAAATAAGGAACATGGAACCTTATTTTTGGAAGTGCTGAGTATTAAAGAGCTGTGCTTAGAACATGGAAAGTTTTAGAGGCTACTTGTCACTGTAAAAATTGAGGCCTAAGCAGCTTCAAATGTAACTGAGAATTAGTGGGTGCTTCATTTTTATGACTCACTTTCCCATCTGTAAAATGATGATAGAGCTCATCTGACTTTACAAGTGTGTTGTGAAAACAGACTTGCTAGTATTTATGAAGTCCATGCTTGTTACAGTAGTGAGTACCCAAAAAGGTCTAATAGTACATGAATAATGAGACAAAAGATTGCGTGGGAGCTCTGTTCTATTCTCCAGAGATGATCTCTGTTCCAGGACTGTCACATGGACCTTGGATGCTTGCCATCCTCTCACCAGTGCAGTAGCTGTTTTAAGGGGCAGAGAGTTCATAATACAGAGATTTCTTTAAAGAAAAGTACATAAACTTACTTTGTTTCCAGGAGTCCATGGGTAAAAGTTCTGATGGCAAATCATACGTGATCACTGGGAGCTGGAATCAAAAATCTCCACACTTCCAATTTGTAAATGAAGAAACACCAAAAGGTATGAACTTTGCCAGATTTTGTCCCTAGCCAAGGCAAATGATTTACATAGTGGGCATTGGATCAATCCTCTTTTCTTTTCAGATGAATCTCACAAAAATCCTTTCATAGCGTGAGATATATCCTCAGAAAGTAGGATGCTAGCAATAACTTTAAAAATCTAAACAAAAGAGGAGGCTAGAAGAAAACTCCTGTGTCTGTGTAAGAATAACTGTGCCTTGGTGGGAGGCTGTAGAGGTGGGGGCAGGATGCAGATGTTTTGTTCATCATTGGAGCTTCTCAAGAACTCTGTTAGGAATTGCACTAAATGACTTGCAGACTTCTTCTTTGCTTAGTTTCTGTGGCCAGTTCAGATTTTTCTGAAGTTTCTAGTTAAAAAAGGATACCTGTACCTATGAAAATGAAGGTAAACCACTCCCAGCAGTAGTCTGAAAATGGCTGGTGCTGCATTGCTGTCTTGAGTCCTAAAAGAGATCTGTCATTACTTCTTTTAAGATGTCAGCCAAATAACCATCTTTTCAATCTGTTGTCACAGTTACATGACAAAGGTTGGGGGTGTTAATGGGAATTGACTGGGCAAAGTCATCAACGTCAGCTGCTGAGTATAGTTGGGTACAGTCTGCTGCTAGGTTGAATGCCATCCTACCTAAAGGACACAGTTTATCATTGCCTACCAGGAGGGATCTCACAGGTCACTGAGTCCAGTTGTCTCCTTTTGGAGCATCATGCTATATAGTCAATTTTCTGAATCTCACAGCTGAGATGGTCTTAAATGCTGCCTTTAATATGGTAGGACTTAAGTGTTGTTCAAGTAACTTCTAGAAACAAATTATAACTAAAATGTGGTTAGGCTGCATGGCAGGAGATCTGCACTGTGGAGTTAAGTGTACAGATCATTTATAATGTTTCATGGAGATTTTTGATACGTTTCAGTGGGATTTGAAAAAGCAACATTTTAATTCTATTTAACAAGATAATTTTCTTGTCTCAAAGACTCTTTAACTTACTCCCTAGGGGATAAAGCACAGTCATCTTATTTTCCTATTTTGAAACTTCTAGGGTTTTGAGATGTTAAATTAAGGGAAAAAATGAATTCTGTGAAAAAGATCTTTTTTATTCTTGTTACTAGGAAAGAAGTTATGGAATATTTTGTTTGAAGCATTTCTTTTAATACAGTTTCTTTTGGTTTTTGTCCCTAGATAAAGTATTGTTCATGACTACTGCTGTGGATTTGGTGATAACTGAGGTTGAGGAGCCTGTTCGGTTCATTCTGGAGACTAAAGTCAGAGTTTGTTCACCCAACGAGAGGTTGTTCTGGCCCTTCAGCAAACGTAGCTCTACTGAAAATTTCTTCCTAAAATTGAAACAGGTAATAATGAAATAAATAAAATCTAGTTGATTTGGGATCTGACAAGGTTGTTTTTCAACTGTAACTGTGGTATGGTCAGTTATATTGTTCTGAGACTGGAGAGGGAGGTTTATAGTATGGTGCTAAACACATACAAACACCTTGGAGTTAAAGAGGAATTTTAGTTATTGGTGCCTGTTGGCAGATCAGTTGCACTATGTTTTTTTTCTCCCTCTAATTTGCTAATACAGTGTTCATATTTCAGTGTTTGGCTCTTGAATCAAAGAGGTACAATAAATGCTCCTCAATTTGTGAAAAGCTATCCTTCATTATGCTGGTTGTTGCTGGCTATCTGAAGTTCCCATAAAAAGCTAGCTGTCCTCATTTCAAAGCAAATTTTGATAGCTTTAATGAGCCTGCAAAGTTACATAGAGGCTTATGAATTTTCCAGCCAAACCACAGAAATAAAAGGAACAGAGGATTTACCTGCAAACCAGGCCTGTGGTGAGAGTTGCTTGCATAAGGGTATATAGTAGGGTAAGTATGTAAAATTCAGGGTTAAGAGGAAAAGAAGACTGTAATAGAATTCTGGTGTCATGCTATCTGATACATTACTAGATTGATTTTATCATACAAATCCAACATTTAAGAATATTTTTTAGATAAGCCAACTTCCACCTGATACTTGGAAAAATATTTTTTTGTGAAAGTCTATTTTCTCCTTTGTACACAGTTAAAAGCAGAGATTTCACACATACCCCAGGTTTGCCTTGGTGGAAAAAAAATGCAAGCAACCACAAAAAAAATCTCTAGAACTTGTTAAAAATTTTTACTGTTTTTTCCAAGTTACTTTTTTACCCTATTTGCTAAAAAGGAAAGGATTATTTCTGTCTAGGATACTAATAATAACAGTGGAAGGCAATAATTCAGTTTCAAAATAAGACTGGAAAGTTGAAGGTCCAAGTCACTAAAGAGATTGATATACTTAGTCACTGCCATTCTCCTGCTTCAGAAATTGTTCTGAAATGAAAGTCCTGTTTAAAGAAATGGAAATACCTGGAAGCATATAAAAATGTGGATGTTTGTGCTCCCTCAAGGTTTAATAATTGTGGGTGCAACCCAAAAAGACAAGGTTGGAGTCTTGATTTCTTGACAAGTGTTCTTTTTTTAAAGAGCTTTTGAATGAGATAAAAGACTTTTCTTAGTTCTCTTTGCAGTTGTCTTAAAATGCTAGTTACTACATCTTGCTAGTAACAAAGAACAAGTTCACAAAGGATTCTTTTTTGTGAATGTTCTATTTTTTATGTAAAATATGAATTAAACATTTTGGAAACTTTCCTTCAAAATTTAAGGTGGAAAAATTCTGCATGGAATCCAGAATGCATGGAAGATCAGCCTCTTTATTTAGGGCATTTTTGAGGTGGAGCATGGAGATGTTGAACAGTTAAGGCTGTTGGGCTATAAATATTCTGCAATCTCCAAAAGGTGCCTTTTCTGTTTGGCAATTTAAAGGAATCTTATCTTACTTAGCTAATTCTGGATCTTTTGTCCTACCACACTCACGGGCATTGTGACTTAGCTAGTTCTCTTTTTTCCACAGGCACTATCAGGTTACCCAACTTCCAGTGTTTACTAATGGAACATTATCAAAATTCATAATGGAAGCAACAAATATAGAATGTACTGCCTGATAAGCCTGGAAGGGAAACCTGTTTCTATGGAGTCCTGATTAGCCCATTAAAAATCCAGTTGTGTGGAATTGGCTTATCTTCCTCTGGCAGTGTTCCTGTCTTCGGAAGTGCAGAAAGCTGAGGGATTTGAGTTGCTTAGATTACATTTAGTGGTTTAGTCATCTTTAATTTTGATGCATTTCACTTCATTTTTAATACTCCAAAGGATGAAATTGAGGACTGGGAGCTTAGTGTCAAGTGTTATTATAAATCATATTTCCCTCTTCTCTTCACCTTTCCTTTTCTACTCTGTATTTTTATGTGTTTATTTAAAAAAAAAAAAGAAGTTATAAATCCTTAGACTGTATTAAACTTTTAGAACCACTTCACAAAGAAAAACCTTCTTCTAAGGGAAAGGAATGTATCAAAACATAGAAAATTACGGAGAAAACAGAACCACATAACAGACTTTGGGACTCAACAATTTGTTTTCCTGCAACAGATACATGACTGGGAAGCATCGTTGAAGACACTTGCCATGGTGGGAAAATAAATGTGAACAATTTTCACTAAAACTGTTGTTTTGTCACCATGAGTATCCCCAGAAGGTTAAGGAAAGAAATTGGACAAAATTTTAAAGGTTTTGCTTTTAATTTTCCATTAATCTTTAAATAAGGGCAGAGTTGTTTGATGTTAATTTGTTTCTTTTAGACCAAAAAATATTTTGCAGGTGCATTAACAGCTTTAGAAATCTCTACCTTTGTGTCCAGTCTGTTTGTGGCTGAATAGATGAGCTACCTGTGTGTGCAGAGCTGAGTGAGACTCTGCCCTGCCTGCAGCAGGTGTGGCCTTACAGAGAGCAGCACTTGCAGGCCTGCACAATGCATTCAGTGTGCTGCAAGGATTGAGCATTCCTCACTGCAGAGTGATAAAAATTTGTTTCTCAGCTCTCCTGTTCCAAAAAGAGAAGGCAGAGCCTTCTGAAGTACTCTGGGTATTTGTGTAACTTTTCTCAGTAAAATGAAACTTCTTGTTTCCTAGATAAAGCAAAAAGACAGAAAGAATAACTCAGACACGTTATATGAAGTCGTGTGCCTAGAAAGTGAGTCAGAAAGGGAGAGAAGAAAAACTACAGCAAGCCCCTCCCTTCGTCTGCCCCAGTCTGGGTCACAGGGCTCCATGATTCCTTCTCCTCCAGAGGATGATGAAGAGGAAGGTGAGCAGTGGATTGTGTACTTTGTATACTTTTAAAGAAAGGGCAGTAAACAGCATAGTTAGGAAACATAATCAAATCCTTTCCAGTCAGCATCTGGCCTGTGGATTCTTTTTTCTTGCTTCAGTGCTGTGTGTGTTTGATAACCAGTACCCCTGCATTCCTGGGTCAGCCTCTCCCTTCTCTGACACTTTGGTGTCTATGCTTTGCTCAGCCCAGGCCTCATCAAGACTCCAGTGTGATATATTTGGAACAACGTGAAAAGAGGCTGCTAAAAATTTAGGATTATCATGTAGCTTCTGCCCCTCCCCAAGCAGCTGTGAACAGATTTTAGAGTAAAAACGAGACACTGATAATATTTGGAAATAAAAGCAAGCAGCATGTTTTAGTGAAGAGGCAAGTACAGACATCTGTAATACATAAAACTGTGCCAGGACCTGCTCAGCTTGAAACTTAATGGGTTTTCAAGATCTTTTTTCTGCTTTTTAAAAATTTTCTTAAGCCAAAATGTGGACTAGTTCTGAGTATATAAACATCTGGCCTAACAGCTCTGAGCTGAAATGTAGATGACTCAAGTTTCTGCTTTTTCACTTTTTCACTGGCCTTCTATGTGGCCTGGGGTGAATTGTTTCACTTCAGTGCTTTAATTTCCCTATTGGTAAGGAGGCAGGAGGGGGAAGGGTGGCTTGAAAATTAATTAAATGCAGTGGAGGGGCTGGATCAGCATCATCACAGTAACTTTTTTGAAACCAATACTGATGTACTCTGAGGTATTTTTAAACACTCACATCAGGTATCATATACATAAACTACATTTTGCTGATACAGTCATCACCACTGGTTTTGCATTACTGAGGAAATATTTTTCATTACATCTGTGCCTTCTTAACTGACACCTGAACTTGTCAGCAGACTCTCACAATGCTGTTCCAGTCTGACTGTCTCCAGTGGTGAAGTTTTCATAACCTCTCTGGGTCCTTATATCAGTTTGGGCCCCCTCATGGTAATTTTTTTCCTGATTTTTAACCAGAGTTTCACACAGTGCTCTTGACACACCACTGTGCCTCCGAGAAGAGTCTTATTCTGCCTCCTGTATGTTGAGTGCAGAAGTGTTGTGCCCACAAACAGGGAGGAGTTCTTGCCACACACTGCTAACAGTCAGGAGAGCAACATTTAAATCTGTCAAGGTGGAGTGATGGCTGTTGATCACATAGCATCTCCTCTGTTCTGTTGGCAGACAATGATGAACCACTCTTAAGTGGTTCTGGGGACGTTTCCAAAGAGTGTGCAGAGAAAATTCTTGAGACGTGGGGAGAGCTGCTGTCCAAATGGTAAGTGACAAAATCACATTCTGCAAATCACAGTTCTGAATATTCTAATTCTGTTTGCTCCTTCTGCCTGGTGTTTTTGTTATTTCCAGAAGCCAGCTGAGATGAGATTAGTACAGACTTCATCCTCTGTCATCCCCACAATGCCCCTTACTCTTCAGCTTCATGTTTTCCCATTTCTTCAAAGAATGTATTCTCATTTTTTGAGTGGATGCTTAAAAACCATGTAGAAATTTACTCATGCTGTCTGTGTCTTTAGGTGGTTCTCTCTTAAAATGAGTATTTTACTTACCTGTGAGTTTCACTGGGATTTTGTTAAAGAAAGGCCTAAACCAAACAGTACAAAGAAAATGCACCTCTTCATCTTTATTTTGTAGAGATCACTTTCATTCCTCTTTGTAATTCTGATGTAGTTCACAGCCAATCTTTCCTGCAGATGTCATATCTTAGTAACTGTAGCTTAAGACCATGGGAGATTTGTACTTGGATAGTGGAGTTGCTTTCCTCCCTTATCTAAAGGAAGATGGCTCCAGGCCCTGCCAAGAAGGAAGTAGATGAGCTCTTCTTTTTTTTTTATTTTTCCTAGAAAATGCCAATTTACAATAAGTGTTGCTTGACAGTCAAGTTGCTAATGCAACACCTGGCCTCCTTTCCTGAGGGATCTTTTATTCATCTTGAAGTAGCCTGAGCAGTTCTAAGAAAGTGATGCTGATTATTTCAAAAATCAGGGGATATTTGGTTTTGAGGTTTTTTTTCCACAAAAGGGGTGTGACAGGCACAACATCAGATTGAGCTCAACTATGCTACATTTTAACTCTGGCTTTAATTGTTGCCTTCTGCTTCCTAAGGTTACTGAGGAGCAAGGCAAGGGCTGTGCAGCAAGTCAAAGATCTGTGTAGAAGGTTAGATCTGAGTAGGACAGCATAGAGTAAGTCATGCACTTCAGATAATTAAATATATTGATGTGACCACTTAGCCAAGATTCTCTTTAAATTAAGGTTATAAAAATTTAGCGTTATTTTTTATTTTCTGCAATTACTACTTACTTGAATAAGTACTTTTACTTCCAGCTTGGTTTTGTGCTAATACATTGTTCTAATCTGGTAGGAAAGCAGACATCAGAAATGGACACGTTTGTCAGAAGGGAAAGGCTGTGGTAAAATGATCTCTGATTCCTTTTCCCTCCCTCTCCTAGAGCTGTAGAAACACCTAACAGATGATCTCTATGCATCTGCTGCTGTGACAATGTTTTACAACTTTTTTTTTTGCAATTCTTCCAAGGGCTCAAAGATAATGAAGCCACCTGACTGCCATTGAAAATGTCTTGGCAGCTCTAAGAGGATATGAAGTGCTTCAATGCTAATGCTGACAACAACTTTAATATGTGTTAAAGGGCTTTCCTTCTTAACTAAAAATGAATATTTTGAAGTAATGATCCTTGAGCTTTTAACATAAGGAGATTGAAAATCATAAAAATCAGAGTTCAGGTAGTTTCATGCTAGTTTTTTAGAATGCTGTAGTTAGATTTGTGTAGTAATTACATATGCATTGGTGTTTTGTAATTTCTAGATAATATTTGGCTTGTATTTAATAACTGCTGACTCACAATTTTCTCATTTCAAAATAGTTTGGAAGAATCTAGTATGTGGCACAGCAGTTTTTTAGGGCTTTACAGTCTCTGTACATACAAGTCTATAGATAAGGATGTTTAGAGGGAACCAAGTAAAGAGGTACTGGGTTCTGTGCAATACTGATCTAAATATCCACATGGCTGGTCTCCAGATTACTGCATTGGAACACTGTACACAGGAGAGAGGCAACAAGGAGTCCCAGTCTGTGTAAAACTATCACCCACATACTTGTTATCAAACATTATTAAATGATGCGATTGATACGACATAAGTTCAGGGCTTTGCCTGGCTTTGTCTATCAGTCCTCTTAATCATTTTACCAAGAAGTTTATTTTTTTTAGTAATTGCAGAAAAAAATGTAATTTCTTTGATTTAAGGCCTCTGTCTTTTGGGGATTTTATGTATAAACCATGAATGGACTGTTCAGCTTAACTTTCTGTAACTGCATAAATTATATGTAGCTTTTTGCAGCTTACAGTACTGTAATTTATGAGCTGTCACCAGTCTCACTTGAAAACACTGTTTAGATGGGAGTGGCTTGTACAGTGGAAGCTGCTTAAATGCATGGATATCGTTAGATAACAATGTGAGAATTTCTTAGCTCTGTTTGCCCATCTTCTCAACCCCCCCTCAGCCCAGAAGGTCACCTGCCTGCTTGGGTGTAGGAATTTTAAGGGGCTGTATATGCTTCTGCAGAGGTAACTCTCATTTTAGTGTTAGTTTGAGCTTGGAATCTTATACAGTGTCTGTCTTCCAGTTCTAGTTTTTGCTGAAGTGCTTTGATTTGTTGAATGTTTTATAGATTTATTTTATATTTAAATTTAATGGGAATCAAGGAAATAATTGGGAAAATGCTTCTCCAAATACGGTTGGGTTTTTTTTGCATAACTTGAATTTCCCTTCCTCTGGCAACGGATGGACTGTCTTGAAATTCCTTTCGTTTGCCATGTCTGAGGTTACACATGAGTTGTTGCTCAGTACTCCTTTGTTTGGGTGTGGCTGATGGTGACAATGCCCTCCCAACCCCAGGCACCTCAATCTGAGCGTGAGGCCAAAGACATTGTCGGCGTTGGTGAGAAGTGGTGTCCCCGAGGCCCTGAGAGGAGAAGTGTGGCAGTTGCTGGCTGGGTGTCACAACAACGATCACCTGGTGGAGAAGTACCGAATTCTCATCACAAAGGTAGAATGCTTTTTTTATCTCTTTTTCCCCCCTTATATCTTAAGGAATGGAAATAGAGTTCTGAGCATGCACCTTCTTTCTTAGAGGTTTGTGAGTGTATCTCAGTGTAGTGTTTCAACTAGTGAGTATAACTCAATCCTCCCTCCAGCACAAACCCTGACATGTCATGCTAGCTGCTCATTATCCCTGCTTAGAGTGTTTTCTTTTTAATCATCCTCCTTCTGTTTCACTTGGATGAGTTCTGAGTTAGCTTGTGAAAAATTAGTATTCTATTAATTGCTTTCCTCATTGACAGAGGTTCAGGGAGCTCATTTCCTTTGCTTGTTTGGCTTTCCTGAATGAAAGCTGAATTTTGCTGTATTGTCTTAACATTTATGCTGAAAATCCAACTCTAGTTGAAATTACAGCCTTTTTTTTGATAGAAAAAAACAGAACACTTTGGACATCTTTGAACTAGACAAGTTCTTTAACTTCTCAGCTTGAATGCTGACCTCAGTAATACAGGGAAAGAAAATAAGATTCATATATGCAGGCATCTCCAAGTTCTGGAGTAACAAATGGGTCACAAAATGAAATGTCACTTCCTTATCCAGGAAACTCATGTGTTAATCTGCATTTGACCATTATCTGTATAGATACATTGTATTTTACTGCTTCATCAAACATGCAAGTCTCAAAGGACTGCTTTAGAAATTATTAATGATGCCACTTTAGTACAAATATAACAAAATAATTTCACCAGTTAAAAAAGCAAAAGAACTGAATTGGCCTTTATGTTCTGATGGCAAAGATTTGTGAGGAGCAATTAAAGCCCTTATTCCAAGGGCAAGAGGGCTTCTGACATCAAACTTGGTTTCTGCTGGAATCATGCAGGAAGGTTCTGACATGATTTGAATGCATCATATTAACTAAAAATATTCTGCCATAAGTACTTTCACATGCTTATTGAATGTAGGAGAAGCTTGGTCTGAATTCCTTAATATTGATGCATACACTGTAGAGCTGTAACTTGGATTTTCTGGGGAATAAATCATACAAGTAATGTGGAGGTTGAGTGCTCTGGCAAGGCGTGTATCACAGTTACCCTGGTGTCTTATTTTAATTGCCTAGTGAGTGGCTGACAGTGTCACTTGTTTCTCTGTTTTGGTATCAGCACTGAAAAGATGATCTCTTTGTGGCACAGTTGGTGACACATACTGCTACTATCTTTGTGAGCTAGAAAGCAATGGTGTAACATTACAATTTTAAATCTGTGGAACCTTTCCATTCATTTACATTTGGCAGAGATGAAGGAAATAACCCAGATCCATTGTGATGGAAGCATTCTAGAGTCCAAGTAAAAGGGAGAGCCCTTGGATCCATCAGTGTTCTGCAGCAAGGGGACTGGCTATACCTGCAGTGGTCATTCAGCATGGAAATGAAACAGTGAAAGAAAATGAGTACTGAATGACCATTTTCAGGCTCTGCTGTAGTCCTGTGAGTTCTGTTGTGTACTACCAGTATGCTGCAATAACCAGCTCAAGCAAATGAAAATCAATCTCCTTCAGTCTGGAAGTGCTGTATTAGACCACTGCTGAGGCTGTTTGCCTTATGGTGACCTAAATAGGTTCCTGTAGAATGAACAAGGTTGGTGCTTTGAGAGCAAAAGTGTGTGGCTGTGGTTCTTTCAATCTGCAGGGGGTGAAAGAAGTGCAAGGTTTCACAAAAAGGTGGTCAGTGGCAGTGTGGAAGGACTAAAGGTGGGAATAGGCAAAGAATGCAAAGATGGTTTTGGAGGCTGATGAGAACATGAACTCAAGACCCAGGAGGATAACATTTGCAGGCACACTGTATGTAGTATGTGCCAACAGAATACTGCTGGACTGCACTTAGGCCTTAATTTTTTATTCTCATGCCTTTCGTAGAGTATTTGATAATTTTAGAGTTCTGATGTGACTAATTCTTAGAGCTCTTAAAATAGCAGCTTAGTTATTGTCACTATGCAGCAATGCACAGGAGTAAATGTGTCTGGAGAAAAAAAAAAAGTGTTGATTCTGTGAAGGGCAGAGTCCCATACACATTGCATCTCTGTCCTCAGAACACTTCATCACGTTTTGTGTGTCACTGGTACAGACTCTTCTCTGCCAAGCATGCAGCTATTGGCATCCCCATGCACTGAGAGTGCTTTAGCTGAGACCAAGCACTGAGGTGTGGTGCAGAAGCATGAGGAGCTGCTGGAAAACCTTTGCTCTTCAGTGCAAGTAGAAGCAGTAAGCCTGTTGGAGGACTCCTAATGCAGTGCCCCTTCTCTCTGAACGCTGACCTCTATCCCTCTAGCTGTGTTTGATTCCTTGCAGGCTCTTTGTGACCCCGTGTGGCAGCGCAGTCCCAAATTAATAAGGGTCTGTGTTGACAGCTGCTTCAAAAGCTTCTGGCCTCTTTCTGGGATTTTTTTTCCCCCCTTGTGCACAGGGTGTTGGATGCAGACGCCCCAGTATTTCTTCTGGTGTTTGCTCCCTGCTCAGTTCTGGGCCCTGGTGCTTGGAGAATCTGGTTTTTTGTTCTCTTTTGCAAATTAACTGCTGCAAGGGTGTTTTTTTGTTTGCTGTTGATGTGTGACTTCTGAGTGATTGAAAAGGAAATGTCTTCTGTTGTGGCCTACAAGTGAAGGCTCTGTCTAGGTCTCTTCTGGAGTCTCAATACTACATTAAAAATGGCATTGAAACTGTGCCTCAAAGTGTGCTTCTTGCATTCTAGTCATCATGACAGCATTAATTAATTATTTGCTCCTTATTTCTTTCATAATCACTGGCTGAGTTTTTGTACTCTGCTTTTGTTGTTGTGGTGGTATCTAAGTTTCACCATTGTGGTGTGTCCTGGGTTTGAGCTAAACCACAACATGGTGCTTCCACAAATTACTTGTGACAATTTGCACACCATCTGTGTGCAGTAATAACGCTCTTAGCAACTCCAGATTGCCTTGCTCGTGGTGGGGAGTGGGATGAAAGCCAGCCCAGTGAATTAAGGTCATGTCCCTGCTGGGGACAGAAAGCAAACTCTAAGTAAAAGTATCTAGAGGATCCCTTTGAGAGGCATCTGTTCCTGGTAGGACTTTGGCAGTCATGGTTATGGCTGTTAATCTTCAGGCTTCCAGCCACTGAAAAGTAAGAGAAGAGACGTGGGGACTCGCTCCAGGTATTAATGGGCACCTCCAGGAAAAAATACTTCATGTTTTTGACAGTCAGAGATGGACAGAAAGTATTGTTGAGTAGAAAACTTGTAAAGCAAGTCACACAGGTTAAAAAAAAAAAATAAATTAAAACCACCGTGATAAAACACAAACCGGACAATAGCCACTTTTCTGAGAAGGTTTTTGGAAAGGATTAATACAACTAGGGAATCTCTCAGATTAGTGGCAATCTCTCGGTGGAGAAGTACTTCATAATAGCAAAATTTTAAGAACTTGACATTTACAATATTGAGGAGAAAATAAAGGCTTTTGGATAGAGGTCTGTGGGAGGAAATAATGTCAAAAGGAAAAACCCATGAACTGTTGCACCACATAAATACACTATATTAAGAAACTTACGATGTGAGAGGGACATCTTGTGGCACAAATAAAGTAAATAATGCAGTGGCAGGAAGAGTGTCCTGGAATGTTACCCTGGGATCACCATTTCTGGAAAATTTTAGGCCTGGGGAGAGATTGATTTGCTCCAGTTTTTCTTGCAGCAGGATTATTGTTACCCACTTTCTCATCTTCCCACTTTTTTGTCTCCATGAGCAAAGGATTGCAGTACACAGAAGTTCTAGCAAATATACTCGTCTGTCTTAGAGCAAATTATAGTAGTCTTTAATGAAGAAATAGATTAAAATGTCACTACCATTATTTGGCTGAAAGTGTTGAATTCACAGTGACATAAAATGTAACAGTACTTTAGCTGTGGGTGGTTAACACTTATTTTCCACTTGTATCACCATCACATTTCCATATGTTCATCTAAATTAGGAAGAATGCATTTAATTTTCAGGAGAACAAAGGGCTACAATTGTGCATGATCAACTGAAATTAAACCTAACATACATCTGTGAATCACAGCAGAAGTATGAGGTAGCCTTGCTGTCAGGGAGCCTGAACCTCTAGGTGCTTTGATTAGTTTTGATCACATGGTGAGAAAAGTTTAATTCAAGCAGGAGTTTTCCCAAGAGCTCTCACTGTAACTTTGAATGATTTCTTGAATAGCTTTTAACAGCCTTAGAGGTTGTATCGTGTCTGTATAGCATGGGAGGAGTCTCTACAACACAGTAATGTTTTCAGCCTCTCACAGCCCTCAGCCACATGAACCACAGGTTTTCAGGTCTTCTAGAAGTGGTTTCTCCCTGTAGTGTGGTTGTGCACTGGGCCAGAGAGCTGGGGGAGCAGGCAGGTGTATCTCCAGCCCAGTTACCTTCTAGTTGCAATTTATACCTTTTGTTGACCACTTCGGTCTGGGTTCTGATGCAGGGCTGCTTGAGAGAATTAACTTGAGATACTGCTGTTTTGGGCTTGGGTGTTTTAAGCAAGCAGGAGCAAGTTGGCCTGAACTTTGAATAGAGTCGTTACTCTCAGCTTTGGGGAAACAACAGAAGGTCAGTTAAAGGAAAAAACAGGTCTCTTTCACAGAAATACCTGGGGGCTGTATAGGACTTAAGCTTGTACTTTTAATAAAAATCTAAATGTGGAGGAGTTTTGGATTTGGTGGTGCATCTTTTGTTTTGAAATTTCAGCAGCTGGATGTTGTTTGGTCAGTCTTGTGATTTCCAGCACTACCTTGTTTTTATGTATCTGGGACTGTTTAAAGTTCAATGTATGTTGCTTTCTTAAGGATTTTTATAATGTATCCTTTCATGCCTAAGGATCCAGAAATACTATTTGAATCAATTGGTATGTAAATCATTCTCTGCTTTGGAAAGATAGGAGATCATTTCTCCAGCAGTAATTCAATCATAGCTTGTTTTTTTGTATAACCACAATACCCTTG